AGCTAACGAAGCTGCTAGCACTACCTGATGATCTCAAATAAGGTCGAAACGCTTCTTGGAGTGCAGTGTCTTTGGATGGGCAACGTCTAACATCCAGCGGTTGACTTGACTGTATGTGCTTGCTTTCCCTCTTCGGGATCATGTTATCCTTCCAAGACCGTAAGAGCTATTCTTTGGAGTATCAAATACGTTACTCACCACAAATTCCTGAACTTGTCATGTCGTTCCATTAGTCATATGGAGGATTCACTGCCGTTTGTGGCACGTAGTTAGTTGCGCCACACGCCTCTGCTACATGGTAGACTAATGTGTGTACGAGTACGTTCATACATCAAGCATGCTAATGTGATGTGTCACAAGTCTAAAGTCGGAAATTTCTCTCGGGTACCAGTATTGTTGGTGTGATCCGACATGTTTAAGAAAAGCTAAGTAAAGGATCCAATGCACATGAATACGAAAATGGTTATGTCGACTGTGTTCCTGAAGATCGTTCATCCCAGAAGTAGAGATCCCATTGAAAGATGTCTAATGCAGTTTCATGAAGCTAGAGTCTGCAGAACCATCTTAGAAACGAGTACTTCACAGGCATGAAGGTAACCTCTAACACCGCATATACAGCTTTGGGCTGGGTCAACATATCTGTAAAGCTTCAGAGCTGCAGACTTTTAATGTATTTCAGAAAAATAGTAGGGGGAGTTGTACGGTATAGGTAGAAATTCGTCGCATGTAGACACTCAGACAGCCATCACACGACCGAAAAGGCACTGTACGTGCAATTCCTCCTTTCGGGAATCTTCACCAGTACGCATTCCACGGGAACCTGGTAGGGTACGAATCTTGGGAAATCGCTGAGCGAATTAATGGAGGAAACGGTTTCCTGGATGATTATAAACCGCCTGTGACGAATGATATAATAATAACTGAAAGATTGTATAGTCCACCATCAACAGTTGAATAGCAATGAACAATGATTTATCACGGGTAAAATAGCATGTGCTTGACAAGTCTCGTAGGGAGGTTGGAGTAAAAATTAAGATTTGTTAGATCCTCGAATAAGTAACTCGTCATTTCAAGCGTCCATCCAGTTAAATGCACTACTGCATAACCATAGTCTAAAGTGGGAATGGGATGTGTACAAGCAAAGTAGCATAGAGAGTTGTTATAGTGCAGCAAGTGCTTGATAACTAAAAAACGAAAAGAAAACGCTCACTACTTTTTTCTCCGATTGACAGATGTGGTATGTTAATCCAGTTTAGATACATCCAGGCTAATCACATTTACACTTCTTAATGTATCCTCTCCCACATTGCGGAGAGGGACGTTAAGTAAATGGTTAGGTTTGCGATATTTCGTCCTCCAAGTGGAACGGACTATATCAAGTGATGCAATTTAAAAAGCGTTTCATCAAGGCGCTTTTTGTATAGAGTTAATGTAGGGGCACGGATAACGTGAGTCGGTAGGGCATTCCAGGCACGGGATACACGGAGGGGGAAAACGTTTCGTCGACAATCAATCCGACTGTACTGCGTAGCCAGTTTGAGCTGATGACCCCTAGGTTGGTATCTTCGCTCAGCTGCAACAGCTTGCAACATGGGTGAGTTGGCTTCGTCAGTATTAAGTAAACCATGACTAGGTCTCCTCGCTGACGTCGATATTCACCACTGTACACTCTCAGGGACTGCAGTCTTCGTTGAGAGGAGAGATGAAACAATCAGTTTGGTCGGTCTACGTTGTGGAGCTTCAAGTGCTTCGACGTCGCGCTTGCGCCAGGGACGTCAGGCCTGGATCGCATACTCCACGTGAGGCCTCACGCAGGCGCTCAGCATTTGCGGAAAATTGATTGCTCAAAATTGTCGAAAGTCCTCCGTAATATTCCAAGATGTTGACTGGCTCTTTCTGATGCCTTTTCAGCCTGTCTTGAGAAATCGAGATCGTACTGCACGATTACACTGAGGTCGTTTTCGTAAGAAGCACGTTGTAACTGCTGGTCTCCAAGTCGATATCCATAGATAAGCTGATGGCGTATGCTTAGGACCTTGCACTTGGTCACGTTGAAATGGAGCCCGTTATCGGATGATCACGCATAAGCCCTGTCGAGATCGTTCTGCAAAGCCTTCTGATCATCCGGTGTCCTGATATCATGGCAAATTTTGACATCATCTACAACTAGTAAGAAGTTCGACTGCAGTACACTGGCAAGATCGTTAATGAATGTTAGGAATAAACGTGGCCCCAGTACCGATCCTTGAGACATGCCACACTGGACGTCAATTGGGTCGGAAATGGAGCTGCGGACTCTCACA